ATATATATATATATATATATAATATATATATATATATGCAGCAGGGGGGTATTGCTCTGTTTATTACGTAGCCTTGGTGTGCTCCCCTTTCTCTATTATTTCGGCCGCTTTGTCGGCCTATCCGTGTATTCCTCTGACAATGGAAACGAGCAGAAGTTCGGAAAATGCGCCTTGAACAAGATTGTGAGAAGCGGAACCAGCAAAACTGTGGCTGCTCCTAAGGCTCCAGCTTGATCTTGCCAAAATCGTGGAGGAGGGCAGTCTAATATACACACCACGAAGAGGGGTCCCTTGCATGCACTGATGGTGTGAGAAACAACGGCAATGGAATGACCGGTGCAAACGCTGCTGCAGAACGCTCTCCGAGGTAACTTTGTCAGTGGCTGCAGTTGAAGAGCTTGAGTACTGCTGTGATGCAGCTTGTACGTGCATATCAAGCTTCTTGCTCCTCTCCCAGCCCCTCGGAATCACATGGGCGCTGCAAGTATGGCGAGATGTAAAACAAATAAATTTGAAAACACTGACCGCTATAGCTGTACCTTAACGGTGCTGACCATGCCGGGTCATTCGACGAACAGCATGCATGCCTGAATGCCTCTATCTGCAGATAGTTCGTCCAGCCGGCACGCTAAGACTAGCAGAGAGGAACGTAAAAACGAAAAACATGGATATGGAGCTTGCGCGAGTGAAGGCCGTGAAAAGTGTCGCTCATTGTGTATATGCACTAGCAGCTCACCTGCTTGGAAAATGACGCTTATTGTACGCTTGGGTCTACTTAGAATACTAAGGAGCATGCTTATGCAGGATCTGAAGCGATGTAAGAACGTAGTTTGGGAGACGTGTTCACATTGGGTCGATGACGCCATGCCAATAGCCATATGGTGGTGTTCGGGTTTGCCCATGTAGGATGTGAGTGACACCCAATTGTTGAACGAATCTCAACGTTTGTCTCCAGAGCGTATTACATGGTAACTATCATATCTCGAACAATTATCTCGGGGGCTTAAGAACCAAATGCTGTGGGTGCTATCAGGAAGTGCGCCTTGTTGTACCATAGTTTTACCTTAGTTGGGTTTGGGTAACGAACCCAGGAATATGATCAAGGTGTTCATCTGCCGAGAGGAAACGAAAAGCCCAACAGATCTAGGCCTGCAATGCAGTGAGCATTGATATGTGTTGCCCGTCTTCAGAATGCACACTCTGAGCTTTAAGTAGCTACCCAAAGAACACCATCCTGACCGTGGCCCACAGTATTGCCCTTTACAGATTGTAGGCAACGCTCTATGCGATAGTTACTTTTCTTTCCCTGCTGGTCTTTGAGAAACATTTGTGTATGCATACCTGTCACCTTTGGCCGCAAGGGGAATGCTTCGTTCCAGTGGAACAGCAGGTAGAACGTAGTACTGACCCCCCAATACAAAACCACAACGCGTGCATGGACAGGAAACAGAGGTGTAACACCAAGAGTAGGAGCCGGTTCTATTTGTGTTATGTGTGCCAACCAGCCCTTTACCTGGCCAGCCTGTGAGTTACACCTTCGGGCTGCGTTCGATGTGACCTGGCAGTGCACTCAGATACTTTGAAAAAGCAGTTTTCGATACCAAGAATTTGCGGGATGTCTGAGAGTTTGCAGCATATCGGCGAGCGAAATTTGCTGTACAGAATTACTGCCAGTAGCCTATTGAAGCGAGCGGACTTTTGAGGAACATGTGCATCGTTGGCAGCAGCAGACCCTAAGACGCTTCATTCTGTTGAGTTATCGTCCCCTGAGAAAGGGTTTGGTGAACGTTTTATGCAGTTTGTACGGAGCCATCTGTCACGGATTGCTTGGGGAATTAATGCTGAATACCATGCGTTTAGTTGAGCCGCGGGCAAAACTGAATATTGAAGCAATTCAAAAGAGCCGATCGTGCATGGAGCCTTGCACCAATTTTGGAGCGAAAGAAGCTGAACATGGATAGAACACTAGGTCTAGAGCAGCGTCTTCGAAAACCAGTCGGTGGGTGCTGTACCAGTACACCGATATCACACCGAAACCACCCGTTCAGAAGGAGGAGTCAGGCATAGCAGTAATTCGATCGATGGTGGTGCTGGTTTTCCTTGGAATGTGCCATAAATGTGAACCCACAGTATGAAAAGAGTGAAAGCATCCCAGGTATTTTGGTATTCTTCTGTTGTCATCAGGAGGGACGGACTTTCACAGGTTGTGAGTAACCTTAAGCAATCGCCTACGTGTCATGCCTTCCTACTAGGGAAAGCTGACATGTGTTCTGTACTACACAGAATCCCGGATTGTGAATGAACTTGCCACACGGCCATCCTCATGCAGCGGGTTCTGCGATGTTTGGGCGTGGTTGTTGCAACTGCAGAATGTGGGTCCACTTGCGACAACATGGCGTACAGCTCGGTGCACAGGCCATAGACCTTCCACAGGGCGGAGAGGTAGTATTTGCGTACAATGCCTATCGATTGCTCAAAACGGGAGAAAACCCTCGGTTCACTCCATCTATCCGTGCTCGTCATCGATTCGCTAAAAGATGAAGCCACTGCTAGAATTTTCGAGCTTGAAATTTAGCCAGTATGTATCGGCCTAAGTGAGGCGCCCGTAATAAAGGGGCTGGTTAGCCCTTGCCATTCGCTACCAGTATCGTGTGGTATATTTCAGCTGCTGCATGTAATGTTGAGGGTTTGTGGTATAGGTCAAGTTTGAGGGCCTTCTGTAGCTCACGTTACAGCGAAAGCAAGCGATTCTCCCTCTCGAGAGAGAGACACCGGCAATATACAGCATCCTGTGGTAGTTACCTGATGACTCAGCGCAGTGCCATACACTACACCGAAACAGACAAGTGCCCTGGCAAACAGCGGTTCGCTGTGTATGTGTTGTCAGCACCCATCTGGAAAAATTCTGCCGACGAACAGGAAGTGCGGATTCGCACACCAAGTGTAATAGGCGACAAGTTACATGCACTGCTTTTTGGGTTCCAACAAAGTTACTCATGCAACTAAGACATGCCAGGAGAGCCGGTGTAATGAGGAGTGCTAGGGCTCCACAACGTTCCGGACCGTGCTTATGATCTTTTTGGTACGCTTATGTATTTCGGTAGAAGTCCGATAGTACCATCTGAAAACGCTGCTAGCCAAATCCGTTTGCGAGATCGCGGGTCCGCGTCTACAAAATTGCACACCTGCTCACTCCGCAACTCCTCGGCAGCGTCGTGCGTGCGTGAAGTTTTGCTGTCTTAACTCGTTGCGTGTAGTGCTGATCTATGTTGTGCATGCAGACAGTCAGCTTCCCGCATAAGCTATGCCAGAAGCACACAATTATTGTTTGCTCAGCCGATATCAACCAGCTGAGACAGAAACGGACTGTGTCCCGCACATCCTGCCTTGCGACCTTCTAATACTGAGTGCAAGCGCTCCTGTTGCAAATAGGCAGTGCAGATTGCAAGCAATTTCGACAGTGCTGGCTTTGTTTCACCAGCTATTTGTTCTCTGCGAACTGTCTCTCCGTCGTAACAAAGGCCTGGCCATGTCTATTCGCTCAGGTATTTTTCGGCAAGGCCTGTTTTGTGTTCCCAATGTGACCTAGTTACTCATTGAAGAGCGTAAAGAAAGTGCGTTGCGGACATAATGGAGTTGGCGGTTGGGTTGCTGCAAGAATATGTTGGTGCTTGCCTTGCGATGCGAACGCAGTTCTGCTGCACGGCAAACGCATACAGACATTAGCTGCGATTGTTCAGTTTTCGTCCAAACATTTTGGGTATTTCAATCGGTGACAGTGAACGGACCTGTCTGCACACATTCGCTCATAAATTGTACATCGCAGCATCTCGCCTTAAAGATACTGAATGGACTTGGCTCAATTGGTGGAGTGGTCCCACTTTCTCTGTTTTGTTTTTGGAAGAATTGGGCATTACGTGGCCAACTAGGAGGTGGCAGTGGTCGGGACAAAACTTCCCCTTGCAGAAAGTCTGTTTTGGGCTTCTCCTATGGCAGATGGAGGCTGTTTCTGCAAAGGCATCCTTATCTCATCCTGTTCGCGCAGACAAAGCAGTGTTCGACATTTTGGTACAGCAATAGGTGTGGTCAGCAGTTTCCGCGGTGATTGGCATGATTGAGGACGTTAGAATCCTGCTACAAGCGATCCTCACAAACGACAAAATGTTTCTAGTCGTTGAATAGTGGGTTGAAACAGGCTGACTGGGGAGTTTGTTAATGTTCAGCTTGTGTGTCCTTGGCCTGACAAAGTACACACAAGAGAAGTCGTTGGCAGAGCCTTCGGGTGTATATGCCTCTCCGTTTGCGCATGGTGTTCGTTTAGTTTGCGCAGAGTGCTTGCATACCGTCTGAGCATGAACTTTTCACTGGGCACATGGGAACGATGTTTGCAACGTTGTTAGATATCCAGTAGTGTAGGATAGGGTAGTCGTCACTGTTGGGGTTTTACTTCCCATTTGCCGTGTAGAAGGATTTCTAGTCGCTTGACGGGGCCATTGCTTTGTGCACATGATCCAGGCGTAATCACCCACGCTATCTCCATTTTAGGTTTCCTGGTTTTCTGCGAAGGCCATGCCGGCCAATGTATAATATGGGTCTGGAATGCTTGTTGTCAGCTGGACGTTCACTTCCGCCCACCATGACCCACTTCACAGTCGAATGTACTGTTTTAGGAAGTGCGCCACATTGGTGCTTATAATCCACACAGTGCGATGATTATTGGAAATGCAATTGCCGCTACATGGCTTGGTGAGGCGAACTACACTTCGGTTGACAGGGTCCGCGGCCGCTACAAGTTTTGAAAACGGCACCATTGAAGGCTTACAGGGGAGCAGAACAGCTGAACGTTTCGACGAAGTTCCCAGTCAGGCGATTTCTCTGTCAACCGTTGTCCATTAGATTCAGCCGAATACATCCTTATAAACTGCAACTCTAAATTCTAGGCTCCTTACGGTCTGGCAGTTCATGAGTGTTGTCTTCTGATTGAACATCAGCTTAGTTGCAACTGTTCATGCAAATGAGATATTCCACAGAGTGCAGCTGTATCATGCTCCTCTTCAGTTGCGTATTGGTTTGCTCAGCGCTCTGCAAATTATGGACGTACAGCGCTTAAACACCGCTAGTGGCTTCGTTGTCATGGATGCACCGTCACCCACGCACACTCTCGCATGGCATTACACAGGAAAATCTGGTGGACACGTTGGGTGAGTTCCAATGAAGAGCGTGCGCCCATTGCTCTGATTAGCGTTGTGTCCTTTCAGCACTTGGCTATCCCACACATCCTCCGTTTCCCGGAGTCGGGATGGCACGCATACAGACTGCAAGGAGAAGGACGCATTCGCACCTGCCCATCACTTAGGTTTTCATGCCATTCCTTCGCCTGCAATGCTGAATGTAACTTTGTTTAAGTTGACTGGTATTGCTTTCCGTGTGCTCGAACAGATGCATAGGGAAGACCAGTTGAGAATTGCAGCGGGAAGGCTACACCGCTTCGCCTAACCGGCGTTTGCTCTTGTTTGCTGCTGAATGTGAAGGAGTGTGAGAAGAAGTGTGTGCCCACGCTTGCAGGTCGTAGGTTACACTAGCCGCATGTAGCGGATCAGGATTACGTATGTAGACGGCTAGGAGAAGAAACCAGGGATGGATATCTCACTCCTACTATGTTCCTGACGACTCCCTTAGCTTGTGCGTGTTCCGGTATTATTGAGGGAAATTGCAATCGTGACTGTAGCTTTACAGCCGTTCGCTGCTTATCAGATGGCACGAATGGGATGTACTACGCCAACAAAGGAGAGCTTTTCAGGTGGTCTCTATCACCGCTGATAACATTTGTGGTTGGCCCTCCCGTAGCTGTTCTGCACTCAACCTACATGTAGGGATTGCTCTGCCCGGATTATATCTGGAAATGGCAGAGCACAGTGAATTAGGCGAGTGTCAGCGGAGAGCAGGTTACACAACGAAGGGTACATCCTGTATCACGATGGATGAACATCTGGTTATCCACGAACTCCTGTGTGTGTGCACAGGCTGACGCCAAAGGAACACCCAGTCATACAGGCTGAGTTCACCTGCAGATTGTGCGCCTTGGAACTTTGTACATTGACAGATTTATTCTGGAAGGGGATTTACGGGAATATTTTTAATAGCCTGTAGATCGGTTGGTGGCGGTGATGGTTGGCATCGTGAGGTTCGGCTCTTGCCGCGTCAGTGTTCTCCAAAGAGAAATCAACTAGAGCAGACTTATGGAGGTTTTGTGCTACAGTGGCGCAACGTGGTGATGGAGCCATTCCTTTACTGTGGCTCTTTCCGAGCCCTGATGAAGCAAACCGATTCTCCCAGCTTTAGCCTAAATGGAAGCCCTCCACTCGACCTCCAGCTTCTATAAGTGGCTGCATACGTTGATGTGGGGTGCTATTGTTACGCCTTTGCCATATATTCTGAGATTACAGAAAGTGCGTTGCATACAATGTCAGATAGTGGCACACGAAGACCAAATGATTGGTTGTCCAGCCTGCTGACTGGTGTGAATGCCCTCAATCGGAGTCTCCGAGAGGCAAAAAAATCATATTTATACAATGAGGGTGCTCTTCACTTCCGCCAAAGAATGTTCTTTAGCCGCCTGTACGTCCGAGTTCTATTGCATAGCATAGCCGCGAGATTTTGCAGCGGCTACCCTCTCGGAACAATAGCGAACATCGATATGCATCCGCTTTGTGTATACGGCACTCCACGTGTGACGCAGATTGTATGTTCTTTGCCCGGAATAGGTATTTAATGCAGGCACCGGCGAATTTCACGGCGGTGACTGGAGTCATATAAAAATTGTATCGTTGACGGTTGGGTCACACGGCTTCTATGAACTTTGTGGATCTGCGATAGGCCAGCAAGCTTGGAAGGCCATTGGCACTATTTGCAGGAAGTGAGCTTTTGCCATATATGACGCAGACACAAGGAGAATTTAGAGAAGTGTAGCGGAGCCATGTGCGAAGTGAATCGTCGATGATTGGGTTAGGCAGTTACTCTCTGCTTCATGGGTCTGCAGTAGGCCAGCAACCGTGGAAAGCAGCTTTCTATATTTGCAGAACGTAAGCATTTGCCAGATACGTCGCATAGCAAAGATTGCTTTCAAACAATTAGCCGCCTAATTTCGTATACTGGTATGCGAGAACAGAACAGCTGGGTAAAGCGTTTTACCCGCACCTGTAAACCAAGGGAGGCTTGCTTTCAAGGAAACTTGCTCACGAATATTTTGGCAATAATTATGGTTTGAGCTTGCCTAATTGAAGGGAGTGTGTTATACAACACTGTTAATACACAGGAGGGACTAAGCATGCGTACCACTGTACCCTCGATCTGCATGGTGAAGCGTGCGCACCAGGCACCCGATGATTGCATCATCCAAAAGGGTTCTGCCTGCCCAACTGTTGATTTACGTGGCACATAATGTAACCGACCGCCTGCAGAACTGGGAAGCGATGTGCCAAAATTCACAGTGCGTAACAAAATGGTTATAAGCCCCTTTTGGAGAAGGCCAGTGTGTTGCCGCACAATGGCAGGCCTGGCTGGCACAAATTGCGCAGCGCTTTACTTTTGCAAAGCCATTCCAATAGCGCTGGTGTCTTATGATGGAAAATGCACGTTCTGCGCTCTCGGTAATCCGTGGTCTACGCGTCAGCCCACAAAACCGACAGGTTTCTTGTTTTGAATCCAAACGCGGCCCAGACCGTAGTTTGGAAATCACTCAGTGTTGGAGCATTCCACCCAGACAGAAGCTTTGAAATGAAGAAGCCCGGTAGAGAAAGCTGTCCGTGCATGCAGGTTGTGCGTTGTTTTCCGCGGACCAAAACTGCGATACTGCAAAAGAGTGTTAATCCGGATTTGCACGCCGGAGTTGGGACAACTGCCCAAAATGAAAATCTACGGGCGCTTGCTGTTGAGTTGGAAAGCAGAATCTCTTCATCCATTCTCTGCTGAAAGCTTCTGCTTGCCCTCGTGTGTGCAAGCCCAGCAATAGAAGCATATGCCACACGCCCTACTGCATGGTCCTTTCTGTGCTTTCGGACTGGCTTCAAATTGCCAGCCTGTGAGCTTGTGTGACAATCAGTTTCTACGTTGCGTTTCTCCGAAGGCGTTAGGCCACTCTGCGTTCGTTGATAATAAAACCGGCACCTTAACGGAAGCTATCCAGAGCGTAAGTTGCATCAGGTCGTAGAGTGCGACACTGCGTATGTCTTCGAGAGTAGCATGCGCGTTATGATGAAGCTTAACAACAAGTTCTGTCTGCTTCAAATTTGCTATGTAACAAGCTTTTCGTGAGCGAAGCTGGTGAGAACTCTGCGGCAAAGGCGTGCATGCCGCGAATTGAGCGTACACTAATGCCATGATTTGCTCAAGGCATATGGGTGGCGCCAGCATTTCCACAATGCGATTGCACTATGCGGTTTTTAAGCTTGTGCGTGTTAAGCCAAATGATAGTGTCCGGTTGGGGGGAAATATTAACTCCTCTTCAAACACATTTTACCTTTGAAAGGCGGTGTAGGAATTGTAAGCCAACACTGGAAACTTCACTGGCGTTTTGTTTTTCGGCCCCCAGCGTGTGCGTCATTTTCGCCTTGATGTAGAGTTCAACAGATATCCTATTGCCTGCTTTGGCCTCAAAGAATCCACAACACAGTGGTTTTGCTAGTATGTTGTAGTCGTGCTGTCGTCACGGTAACTAAATTCTGGCTCTTTGAAATGAACAAACACGCCGGTCAATGTTGATTATATTTGGGGTCCGTCTGTCACCGTGCCGTTCCAGCCTGTGCGTAGTTTGCTTAATGGTCGAACTGTCCGGCAGCTGCGCGTTAGTTCCTGTACTTGGTGAACTACGCGGCAGCACCGCCGTTTGTATTTTGTGGTGACCCCGAGTGTTCATCTAATGGGAATTAATTTTCGCTCCTCTTCAGCCCTACTGCATCTACAGCCGAATGGTCGTCATGCTGTTATTTCATTAAAAGCCAAGCAAAAATTGCCTTTTATGGGATATGCCAACACGCCTTGCTGTCATATAAATGGAGGTACGCAGAAATTCGAGTCCGATGTGGAACAGTGAATATTGTCCTTTGGGGAAGGGGGGGCAAGGCTCGGCGTGCAGGACGTAGGTATTCTCTACATGCAGGACGTTCAGAGGTCAACTGCTCACTGTACTGTCGGCACCCTCGGTGGATGGCTTTTGCTACATACACGCCTGGAGTGCTGCTCGTGGGAGCCTGTTGCCTGATGTGTTGGCGTGCGGGTATATGTGGTAACTTGCAATTGCATCCCAATTGCTATCCTGAGCAATATTGAATTATTGCTGCTCTGTTGGGGAGTCCGCGGGTTTTCGCAACCAAGAGGCATTCTCCAGTTGCATTGGCCTCTCCTCTGGCTTGCAGTCTAGTAGCCACAAATCAACCTTCACGGTGCCAGAGCCTTCTTGCCTAGCTCTATCTTGCCGTGCTTCATTTGGCCAGTGTTTTCATTTTCCAGGGAGTGTGTTGCTTCGGGATTCGCGTGTAAATACATGCAAGTAGTAAACTATGCCCTCTGGGTGGAGAGTAACAACCGAAGACAGAGCATTTGCTGGCTCTTTTGGTTCATAGTATTACACAATATAGGATAGATGAAGATTGATGGTCTGCAAGTTTGTTTCTACCTTGTCCAACTAGTAGTCAAATATGCCTTGATGATCTCTTGTCGCCGTAGCGTTGCCATCGACGAGCTTACGCTGCACCTAAGAGCCCAGTACCAGGTAGCGGTACCCCACGTTTTACGGTTACTATAGAGTGGCCGCTCGCAGGCGAGTTCTTTGGAGCTCTAGTTAACTTACCCTCTGATGGCTGTCTGCAACTTCAGATTTTGGGTATTGAGAAGTTGAAAACACAAATTCTAGACGGTGTGTCAAAAGACCCAAAAGCGAAGTTTGTGCATAGAGTGACAACATGGATGCTGTGACGAAATGACAGGCCTACTTAGAAATTTTCAGTTGCATCAGGAGCTTGTTTTGTTATTTTTCCTTTACGGCAGGTGAATGATGATGATGGGTTATCATCGTTTTCTGCGAAGAACCGGCTTTCATGGAAGACCGTGAGTCGGTTTCCGCGAGTAAGGAAAGTGAATACAAGGAAGTAATCTCCATAGGGTTCGGCTACTCAAGAGGTTCGTTTTGGGAATCCTGGATATGGCTGTAACTGAGTAATGACCATACGGCTTGCCGCCTACGATGGGGCAGTGGAATGCAGAAGAATCGTGAATATTTGGCACATTTGGATGGTAAAACAATCGGAAGTGGAACCATTTCTGACTGATTTGGGTGTCCAGTGTACCCTGCACGTGGTAGGGTTACCAACAAAGATGGTGCGTTCCGTTTGTAATAGGGAGCATAAGTGCTACAGGAAACAAAAGCACTCCGCACACTATGCTCGTTTTTGCCTTCCAGCTGTGTTCCTCAGGGAAGGTTCTGCGATATAAACAATAAA